GTCTTTGTTGCTCTTCGAACAACAATATGACGATTGAATCCCACGCAGTCTGAATCCATCGAAGACGCGCCAATCGATTCAGATTCCGTCGAAGGTCGCGGTGATTCCTCGCAGTTATAATACTTCATGTTAACTGACGATTTCGGTCCTTCGGCGATTACTCCCGATGAGGGGGAATAGGAAGTTTCGGGTTACGTGGACGTTCGCGTCACGGCGAGTTTCTCGTCCTGCTAGGACGGTGGTTGTCGCTGCTGCTGCTGTTGTTGTTGCTGCTGCCGGTTACTGTCGCGATGACGGCAGCTGGCGATAGACCGGCTGACTCGGTGACTGTTCCTGTAACGGTTGGTAACCGATGTCGGTCGTGATCTGTAGCTGGCCGCTCCACGGTTTATGTAGCTGCTGCTGCTGCTGCTGCTGCTGCTCCGCGCCCCTGTTGCAGCTAATAAGTCAACGGTTGGCCGCGTCGCTCCTACAGGAGCAACTGGTGAGCCGCCTGATCCATCTCCTCGCGCGTTATGTCCAACGCCTCTTGCATCTCGCGTGACGTGTACCGCACGAAATCCGGATCACAGAATTTCCCCAGTCCTTGCTCCAACAGGATCTGAAAGGCGTACGACCTGTAGCGCGGACGTTATCAGAAAGTTGAAACCGATTTGTTATTTTTAAGTTATCTCTCATTCTGAAACTTACTCGACCGACGAAACTCTCCGCGCTTCCGACGACCTCAAAATTCAGTTTCCGGTCCGCGGGACTGCCGGGCATACTGTGGAACAGGCTTCTTCTTCTTCTTCTTCTTCTTCTATTAAAGGCTTCCGTTTCCACCAGAAACGATACAGCCTGTGCTTAAGATTGAGTAACAAAAAACTTGTGCGACAATAGATGATGCAATAAATGATGATGCAACACTAACAGAGTACTGAGCCACAGACGTCCACCTCAGTCCGTGGCTCACAACGTAATTCTGTGGGGCAGGCGTTCTGCACCGACGCTTCCGTTACTCTCTCTCTCTGGCCCAGGAAACTGACGGACGAAGAAAGGCGTTAGTGTTAGCTCGAATCAGTCACACCCTGTCTCCTTATCGTTTTCGATTCATTTTTACCGAGGCCATTTTGCATTAGCGAGCCTAAGCGCACACAAACTGATTTAGTGACACACGAAGTGCTTTTCTCAAGCTTTGCGAAATTACAGGTGTAAATCGAATTGCATGTTAAGAATAAGTATTAGGTAATAAGACTGTTAGGAATGTTAGTTCGAAAGCTGACAGAATGCGTGCTTCGAGCAGCGGTTGACCACCTGAGCAA